TTTTTTTTTTTTTGTACAAAAGTTACCTAATGAAGATTAGGGGATGAGCTTTTACTTTAAAAAAATATCGTTCTACCAAGTCAAACTTTTCGAATAAATAAAACTTATAAACTAACTAAACAAACTATAAACTAACTTATGATTTACATCGTACACTTCTAATTTTCCCATATAAACTAACTTATGGTTTACATTGTACACCTCTAATTTACCCATATATCTATATATATAATTGCTGGCATATAGAATTTAATAAAACATTTAATAAAACCTCCATTCATTTTCCCGCTCATTTTTTCAATTAATATAGAACCGTTACATTTTACATTAATAAGGTGTAATAATAATTTTAATATAATTTATTTACTACTAACACTAACTGATTACAACTTTACATTAAATAGTATGTAGAAGTTACGTACTTGTAAAAAATTGTATTGCAATTTTTTTCTTTAAAATACTTTTTCTAAAATAAAATATTTATGTTCTTTTTAAGCGATTTTTATCTAATAAGTTAATTGGCATGAGTGTCATAATTAAACACCTTAAAATCACATAAACAAATGCTATAACAATGACAAAAATAATTGTAATACTTTTCTAACTAATTAATTGTATGATCTCTCTAAATTACTAAATTATATTAGCCATTAAATTTATGGCATCAATATAAAGATTCATACGTAAGTTAAATAAATTATATTCACATACACATTTGCATGTAGTCCAAATTTAAAATGTAATACATCAATTATTTAATATAAAATTTGTATATATTGTATACATAAATATAATATATAAATTTTTATTTTCTTTGTGCATGTGCACATGATGAATATTAGTTAAGACTAGTTATTGTATACTAGTTTTGCTATGGAGTCATCGGATGACTCGACTTATGGAGTCATTCACATTTATTCACACAAATAAAATAATTGATAATTTCTTCAAGGCCCATTATAAAACGTCCATTACTGACCAATCCATCTCTTCTAGGGTTTATCTGCCGTTCATCGAACACCTTCAGTCCGCCGTCATCCTCCCCCTTTGTTTCGATCGAGTGCAGGTCTTTCTTGAATCTCCCTCCTCCTCTTATTTTAATTTCTTTATGCATACAAACAACCTGTGTTGCCAGTAAATTTGTTCTATTCGTTCGATTTTTTATTTGTTCGAAAGGTACATTTTTGTCTGGATTTTGGATTTCTTGTTTATTTCATTCGTGATGATCAAAATTGTGATGTTGTCTGCTTGAATATCAAATTTAAGCTGTTCATTTCGTGAATAATATTGTTCTTCTGCTATACGAGGAGGGTATGTAATATGGACTGTTTTTATGCACAGTGCAAATGGTAATCTTCATTATATGTTTATTCTGAAGAACCCATGTTTACTTTATTGGTTAGTTTCTTAAAATATGTATGGAAAAGTAAACATCATAATTAGTGATGGGCATGTGAAAAGTGATTACCTTTGTCCTTTATGTGGTTCAAATTTGCAAGATCATGGATTGAAATATGGTTGTGTATCCTTAATATTTATATGGATGACATCATAATTAGTGATGGGTATGTGAAAAGTGACTACCTTTGTCCTTGTTGTGGTTCGAATTTGCAAGATTATTGATCGAAAAATGGTTGTGTGTCCTTAATATATCTATGAATAACTTTATAATTTGTGATGAGTATGTGAAATGTGATTACCTTTGTCCTTGCTGTGGTTGAATTTTGCAAGATTATTGATTGAAAAATGGTTATGTATCCTAGCAGATGGAGTCACAGATCAAGCATGCTATTGTGGTGAAGGTTATCGGGCGGACCGGGTCTCGTGGCCAGGTCACGCAAGTTAGGGTCAAGTTTATCGATGACCAAAACCGATTCATCATGAGGAATGTGAAGGGACCCGTGAGGGAGGGCGATGTTCTTACCTTGATGGAGTCTGAAAGAGAGGCCAGGAGGTTGCGTTGATCTGCTCGAGTTTTCTTGGTAATGTAATGAAAGATTGCTCTGTTTGGTCTGTTCTTACTATATTATTCGTTGCTTTTTGTGACTGTGTTTTGGAGTAGTTGTTGGTGCGAGCATGACTTTGCTTCTCTTTGTTGTTGCCAGTTGATGTTGGGATCCTTGTTTTGCTTTGATAGTTAATGATGAATGAACAAGTTTTTTGTGTTTTATTTGTGGTTGTGATTTTTGAGCTTTATTTGTGGTGTTTGCGCCTCTGGTTCTGCATGTTTTTTCGGTATTGGGAGGGGGTGGCTGTGGCTAAATCTTACTTGGTTGGGCAAACACAAATGGCTGTCCTGTGAAATTTTAGAAGCAGTTTTGGCTAGATGATGCATGTGTGTTGCACAGAAATTTTATGGAGTCATCGTGATGGCTCCCTTATGGAGCCATCTATAATTTTATTTACTAACACATGTCCATACACCATTTGTGAATAACTATGGATGACTCCATAAGTCGAGTCATCGTTTTGCTCCATAGCAAAACCGGTGCATACCAAATTAATAATAATCTTTTTTTTTTTCAATCCAGTTTTTTACTACACTTTTTATCTGGTACTCGTGAATATGCCATGTACCTCTCAAGGTTTTGTCCTAATTTAATTTTATGCTAGTTCAAATTTGTCTGTGGCTACAAGATAGTAGGTTAGAATTTATCTCAGATTTTCTACATAATAAATGTGGCTACAAGAAAGCTGATGTGATGTAGGTAGGAAAATTTCTCAGATTTTGATAAGCAAAGAATATGCAATAGCTTTCAGATGTATTTTAGGGTTTGAAATTTCTCTGATAAATCAGTTAGCTGTCGACTATCACCTTATTGAATCGCCTAAAACTCATTCGTTATCAGCTCAGTGATGAACAACTTCCAAGCCCTCCGACCAAATCAAGTGACACCAATATAGCTTCAACTGGCTTTGTCCCAAAACCCTCTTGCCAATACTCATGACCACGGTTTAGAACCAGCCTAGACAGTTGACCCGGTACGTGAACCGGTCTGGCATTTGGTTCGGGTCGGTTTTGGTTCATGTTTAAGAAAAATTGAACCGTCGGTCCAAGTTCGACACAAAAAATCTAATTCATAATTTATTTTTTTCTTTAAATATTTTATTATTCTTTATTTGTTTTTTCAATCTTCCTTGTTCAGGCGTTCGGCCTGAATCGCCGGGCTCGTTTGGCAGTTCCATTCAACCAAAAATTGAACCTAGAATCGACGGTTCCAAATTGGAACGCTTGCCAACATCAAAACCAACTCTTACGCTCGCAAGCTCTCGTTTAAAAACGAGCCCCACACGAGAATCCGACCTACAGATGTGATGCGTACTATTTGGTCAATTTAAAAGTTTTCAATTGATCGAGGGCCAATTAGTTACCCTTATCATACATACTTCACGAAAATCTAGTACATAAAAGAGTTTCCTGAGATTCGTGTGAACATACCAACCCACATGGGCGAGGGAGGGTGGAGTAATTGAAGGGTGTAAACGATTCGAGTTTGAGCCCTTAATGAGCCGAAATCGGCTTGACTTGTTAATTTAATGAGCCAGTGATTGACTTCGAGTTCAACTTGTTTATCAATATTATCGTGTCGGGCTCGGCTTGTTTAGAGCCCAAACTCTAAGTGTATTTCTCGGTCAATTTGTAATTTTCAGTGAATCGGGGACCAAATAGTTAGTTTTATCATACATACGTAAGAAATATAAAACAAGCATACGAAGAAGACTTACGAGGTTCGACTAAACATACCAACCCACATGGGCGAGACTGAACAATAGTTCTCGCATTGCGGGCCTGCAACTAAGGGTGTAAACATGTTGAAATCGAACTCACGAAGCTCGAGCCTTTAATGAGCGGTTCTCGGTTTGACTCGCCAAGTTTATGAGTCAGTAATCGAACTTGACTCATTTATCAATATCAACGAGCTCGTGTCTTAACGAGACAAACTGAAAAATATTATAAAAATATATTCTTATATGAGCCGAGTCGAGCTCATGAGAGGCATGTTTCATTTAACGGATCGTTTCATTCAATAGATGTATGTTCATGGGTGCATCAAACCCGCAAACAGTTAATTACCTAGGCCCAGTAGACATAGGCCCAGCCCAAAATTTGGCTCTTCTTCTTCTTCTTCTTCTTCTTCTTCTTCCTTTTCGTCCTGTCTGCCGAGTTTCTGCGCTTGCTGTAGTGTATACCCAACTCACAGATACACCAAACCAAAGCCGAAGACGAAGCTCGTTCAAATCTCCGTACCAAAGGGAAATGTTTTGAGCTCACTCTTGGTCGGGGGCTACCGTCAGATTCGAAGAGGGATGCCCGCCGCCGCCTGCTGTAATAAGGTAAAGCTCCGAACTTTGAAGCTCTTTCCCATACCCATGAGCTCTCACTCTTCCCACCTCTTCTCCTCCAAGCCCTCTCCTCAGCTCCTTTCCGACCCAAATTCCGATTCTCAATGTCCCGGCGCCGGAGACTCTCGGGCCCCTCCAATTTCCGATAGGTTATTCGCCGGCGCTCGACAATCGGGCACCTACAAGCGCGGCGACCCCACATTTTATGCCCTCATCGAGCACCACGCGGGGTCCGCGGATTTCGAGGCCCTGGAGACGGTCTTTCAGCGGATGAAGCGAGAGAAAAGATCCTTCGTCGAGAAAAACTTCATCTTGGTCTTCAGGGCCTGTGGGAAAGCTCGCTTTCCCGGTAAGGCCGTCGAGCTTTTCCATCGAATGGTGGACGAGTTCGGCTGCAAGCAGACTGTAAAGTCCTTGAACTCCGTTCTTAATGTGATTATTCAGCTAGGCGAGTACCGGCGTGCTCTGGAGTTTTACGATTATGTTGCTAGCAGTAAGAAGAACATCTTACCGAATGTACTGACATTTAATTTAGTCATCAAAGCCCTGTGTAGGCTTGGATTGGTAAGTCGGGCTGTGGATGTATTGAGGGATATGCCTCCATTGGGTTGCGAGCCTGATGCCTACACGTATTGCACAATAATGGACGGTTTGTGTAAGGAAGGAAGAATAGAAGAGGCCGTGGCTTTGTTTGACGAAATGCAGATACAAGGATGCTGCCCGGGTGCAGAAACATTTAACGTGTTGATTGCTGGGCTTTGCAAAAAGGGCGATTTGGCCCGAGCTGCTAAAATGGTCGATAATATGTTCTTGAAAGGTTGCAGCCCGAATGAGGTCACGTACAACACGCTCGTGCACGGGTTGTGCCTCAAGGGCAAGATCGACAAGGCGCTCAGCCTTTTGAGTCGAATGCTGTCGAATAAGCTTGTCCCGAATGATGTTACTTACGGGACTATTATAAACGGGCTTGTTAAACGGGGAAGATCGGTTGAAGGCATGAACGTTTTGATGAAAATTGAAGAAAAGGGGTTCAGAGAGAACGTACATGCGTACTCGGCACTTATTAGTGGGTTGTTTAAGGAGGGAAAATCGGAAGAAGGGCTTGAATTGTTTCGGAAGATGATGGAAAAGAAGGGGCGTGGTGGGCACAATGTTGTTGTTTACAGTGCTCTTATCGATGGTTTGTGTAGACAAGGGAAGCCGTATGAAGCGGAAGAATATTTATTACACATGCTCGATAAAGGTTGCTCACCAAATGTCTTCACGTACAGTTCTTTGATGAGGGGTTTCTTTGAAATTGGGGAAACTGAAAAGGCGATTTATTTATGGCGAGAGATGATTGAGAAGAAGGGCTACATGGATAACGAGTTCTGTTACAGTGTGCTCCTTCAAGGCTTGTGCAAAAACGGGAAGTTGAAAGATGCTCTTACAGTGTGGAAGCATGTGCTGGCCAAAGGGTTAAAACCGGATGTTGTGGCTTATAGTTCAATGATCGATGGACTTTGCTGTGCGGGGCATATAAAACAGGGTTTCAATTTATTCAACGAGATGCTTTGTAAAGAACCTAACTGCAAACCTGATGTAATTACGTACAATATACTTCTTAATGCTTTGTGCAGACAGGGCAACATTTCTCATGCTATTGATCTTCTGAATAGCATGTTAAATCGAGGCTGTGATCCGGACTCGGTTACGTGCAAGATTTTTTTGACGGCTTTTATGGAGAGGATTGACAAGTCTCTTGATAGTGAAGAGTTTCTTGACGAGCTAATACTAAGGCTTCACAGACGACAGAGACTAGTTGGGGCATGCAATGTAATAGAAGTGATGCTTCAGTCTTTTCTTCACCCGAAAGCCACCACTTGGGATAAAGTTGTTCGAGATATCTGTAAACCGAAGAAAGTTTTAGCAGCTATTCATAAGTGCTGGGGTGAATTGTTCTTCTGAGTGTAGACACATGATTGATTTTGACGGTATGCCTACATATCTTGAGTTGATGGTATTTTTTCGGACATAGTTTGTGTTTTGTTTGTTGAGTGATCTTCGTGCTCTTGCATTAGTTGATATGCTAACTTATTCTTGATAAGATATGTCATTATTGGTCTGTAAATGCTGAAAATTGGGGCATTCTGTTTCTGAGCAAGTGAATATAACTGAGATTTTGTGGGATCAAATTTCAAGTCCTTATGAGTTTGATCTACCGAAAATTGGTACCCACTTTGATACATTTTTTTTTTTTTTTTGGCAACAAAGCCTGGCAGTGAATGTAAATCTGTGTTTAGATATATAGCTAGGATACTATAATGCTCAAATTGCTCTCTGTTGGAACCAATCACAACAAAATCATGTTGATGCATTGTGTTGAATTGCAGGGTCTGAGGATTTAGAGAAAGCAAAATCGAACGATAAAGGGTTTTGCATAAAATTTGTAAAACACATCTTAAATTCTGGAGGTATTGTCAGAGATCTATATAGAGACACGTAATTTTTGGAGAAGCTTTTTGGTTTTCTTCTGGCATCTTATTTTTTCTTGTGTCAATTTGCCGACAGGAAGAATGGTTTTTTTCTCGAGACATTTTCAGACGTTTATACCGAGTCTTTGGTGCTTGTGGAGACCACACAATACTATGAGAGTATGAGGTAAATAAAAATGTGCGGCTAAGATCCATATGAAGTTTTTGTTTTGTTCGGATACGAGTTGCTTCATGAATATAATCCTTTGATAATGTGAAATCTGTAATCTTTTCTGGCAGCATTGGGTCTTAGGATCAATCAAAATGGATCATTTTGTCTTGAAAAGCTTGAGAATGCTCTGTTGAAAACTCCGGGGGGTTCAACTAGGCCTTCGACTCCATTGATTTTCTATATTTTACAGATGCCTATCAATTGCCTTTTCGTAAGACTTTCTGCGCAGCTTTTTGCATCGTCAAAATGGAAACGGTCAGATATAATCTCGATTGCTAAAGCAAATACTGTGAACGACAAGCCGAACAAATTCCTTCGCGAAAATAGTTGATAAAGATCCATCCCAAAAATACATAATGGTATGACATTTGATAGTATAAATACATATAATAGTATACACTAATTCCAGCATTTTTTTCATTGCTCATGTGTTTTCGGTTTCATAGTAGTAATGGATGATAAAGATCATACAACAGTATGACATTTGATATTATAAATATACAGTTTTATTTACAAAGTATTGCAGATCGACTCGTCTGATTACGCTGCTAACAAACGATACAATCGAATAAAATCATACAAAATTAGGCATGCGTCTTTTGTTAGGCCGGCTAATTAATCATACTTTCCTCCTACGTAACAGTACATTTTTTCATTTGAAAATGGCATAGTTTAAGAAATAATATACACAAATAGTATAATATGATGTTTGATGGTATAAATAGGCATTTTTATTTACAAAGTATTACAGATCAACTAGTCTAACGATTAGGCCGATAACAAATGATACAATTAAATAAAATCATACAAAATTAGAGATGCGACTTCTGTTAGGCCAGCTAATTTATCATACTTTTTGTCAAATTTAATTTATCATACTTTTTGTCAAATTTTGGGGCATAAGGTGAACAGTGCAGCGCACCATAAGAGGGTGAGTCTACTTGCACTTTAGTGAAGTTTCATCTTAAAATTAATTGGTGATGAGATGAGTAGTCCCGATTTTGCTATGAAGTCAACAGTTGGCTCTATAGTGGAGCTTAACTTTTTATATACAACAAGTAAACATACTATATTCGTTGATTACTTAATTAACACTAATATAATTTTATTAATATTGGAGAATGATTTATTTGTTGTATATAGAAGGTTGGTTTCACTATGGAACAAACTGTTGGCTTCATAACAAAACTCGGAGTAGCTAACTAGGGTTATAAATTAGACTCATTTACCATATCAAATCAATGTGAAACCGGACAACTCACAAATGATATTCCAATACTTTCCTACAATGTACATGTTTTCATTTGAAAATGATACTCCCTACTATTCATTATAAATGTCGTTTTGACTTTTTTGATTCATCTATTTTGTTATGTATCTAGACATATTAATGTCTAGATACATAATAAAATAAATGAATAACAAAAGTCAAAACGACATTTATAATGAACAGGAAGTAATATAGTTTAGAAAACAACATAAACAAACAGTATAACATTTGATAATATAAATAGACATTTTTATTTACAGGGTATTATAGATTGACTACCCTCCACGTGTCCATAACCCTATCAGCAATTTAAATGGCTGTGCTGACAAAGTTGGACTTTTG